CCTACACCTGTTACATTTAACATATTCGTTATCTCATTATGAACCTCTCATTGCAGTCTTACTATCTCCTGTTTAACACAGACCACTTTGTACTAGCAACTCACTCACCTGACACCTTTTATAACCTTGAACTGACTTACTTGTCAATTTTCCTACCCCACACTCTACAAATCTATTATGATAAATCACCACCACCATTGTCTCCCGTTTTACAATATTTTATAATTGATTTCAGCCTAGCACGTTTGTCACACAAATACGACTATTTATTTTGACACGCCATAACTACTAATCTGTTATTCTACGTTGAGAAAAATGTATCCGCCGCCGCATAACTGGCCTCTAATGTAACGACAACAAATTTTATATTTTATAACTGTAAGAACCTGAAGAGAAATTATTGGAAAGAATATTCTTCGTTCAGATTGACTTTATCTTGTAGACACAATTTCTTTTTGACATTTCGGCAACCATACCTTTGACATTCATCAAAGCTCACTCTCAAGAACAAGAGGGCTTGAAATAGACTTTAATATTATATGAAGCAATTAGTCTTTGCAGTTGTTCAGCTGTCCGTGTCCTTTCCATATGGAATGGCTATCGTCGATAGCCAGGATTTTTCAATTTTTCTTTTCCCTTATGCTCCTTTTTATTGATAATATTATCTAGTAGATTTTCCGGATAACCATTTCCAATCAAAATCTCTTTTATGCTGGATATCTCGTTCCCCGTATTGTCATTATATGTTGTAATGTTTCCAGCTCTGTTAACGAGGTCTAAAGCTACTGAAACTTCCAATCCTATCGGATGATCTGATTGGAAATTGAAGTAATTGTTGGAAATAAAATACTGATGGATACTCTTGTTGAAAACCGACGGACATCCTCAAATGTGCACAGGTGATTATGTCACTTTCCTCACGATATACCAATTTACGTGTGTGTGTGTGTGCGGTAACACACGTATAGGCAAGAGTAACCGCGTTTTCATGCAAGGCTGGGAGAGCATATTCCGAAATGGTGAGGAAGACAGATGAAATTTGAAGAAATCAATCAATAGAGGCCAGTGGTATGTTGCCAAACATCGAATCGACATGAATTTATTTTCTATTTTTGATCACAGCTTGATTCCACACTGTATTTTTGGTACAAGTATGGATGGAATTTTCAGCATGGATATCGGTGGCCCAAATTTTGCAGGCGAACATAGATATCAGGTGTCCGTCAGCAGGGGATCAAACCTCGGATCATGTGTATGGTCGGCGAGTGTCCTAACCACTGTGCCACCGATGCACCGACTAATCATAAGACTGATCTTAACGCGGCTTTTAGGCTGATTTATAGAAGTGGTCAAGGCCGCTTATTGAAATACGCTGGAGCTGTAACTATTCTTAAACTTGAGCCCATCCCATGTGTGTACAAAAACAATATTTTTCAATGCTTCAAATCTACATCACTGATTCTTGCAATCAATACCTTGATGGTAAATCAAAAATGCAAAGTCTTCTGACTGAACAGCACAAAGTCGAACTTAAACTGTTGACGCACAACAGGGATATACTATTAACGCGCCTTGACAAGGGTGCAGATGTTGCTATTATGGATCGTAGAGATTACATTGATAAAATGTCACACATCTGAAAACGGTGACAATTACGGCATTTATGTTTCTTGAAAGGACAGAACTTGACAAAATGCCACGAACCACAGTGCCAGCACACTGAAGGAGGTTTAGCTGAATTTTGAGACTGACGTTCTGTCTGCTTAACGGTGATCGGAGGACTTTTCACTGTGTTAATCGAACCAAATTCAGACGACTGTTGTTTGCACTCCACCATAGCAGTATCGTGCTTCAAGTTGATTAAGCGTAGGCATTCTGCTGTCACCATTTGTAAAGTCATTTTCGGGTCTTGTTCCACGAGTGACAGAAGTCGAGTTCGTATGTCAGTATCTTCTGGGTTCTTCAACCCACAAATAAAAATCAAACACTTGAACTGATCTGATGTCATTTCGTGTGGTTTGAACCTTTCACATTCCTTGTTCACTTTGCCAGCGTAAGTCACATAATCATCGGAAGGCATTTTTGTCAACTGAAAACACTGATACCGAATATTAAACATGGATGACTGTTCACCAAAGATTTGTGATAAAACGGTGACTGTCTCATCGAATGATAACTCACGTGGGTTCTTGGGCAGAATGAAGTTAACATATCTGTTGTGCTCAACAGTACCAAGTTTTCTTAGTAACAATCGGACTTTGGCAGCATCATCAAACATGTAGCATTCAATACGGAAGACATCTTCGTAACGATTGAACCATGCATCAAATACGAGACCAGATATTGGATCGTAGTTGAACTCACTGATAGAATTTGAGATGCTTTCATATTTGTCAGAATGAGATGTCGATGGAACTTGAATGGACAGCTTCTGAGTGAGAGCTTCGATTAATTTTAGTTGAGCTGCTTCATTCTGAACCTGCTGCTGCTGCAAGATAGATTTGAGATCGTCCAGAGAGATAGACATTGTAATTGGGTTGTAATTAACACAGTCAAAAATGTTATATAGTTGCGCTGAACAGAATAAAAACTGTCGTCGTTTGCTTGCTATAACTGCACTGAATTAAGGTAAACCCCGTCGCCAATTTGTTATAACTGTAGGGAATTGAATGATGACGTTTTCACCTTATTCTGTCTGCGCCTGAACTAATCTGTCTATCTGCTCGTCGTACCTTCCGACTTAGTAAAGCACGCAAATATCAAAAGACAAAGGCTGGACTGTGACTGTGTATTGAGGTGCAACAACGATAAAGAAAGCCATGGTATTTATACATTTTACAACAATATGGACAGCTAACAGCATTTGAAATAATTGACCTTAATAGCCAATAACAAAGTGTGAGAAATGATAATATGCCATATGTGCGACATTGACAGTCAGTAACAAAATGTGTGGGAATGATAATATACCATATATATAAAATTAGCAGTCACTACCAAAATGCGTGAGAATGATAATATACAAAATTAGCAGTCAATACCAAAATGTGTGAGAATGATAACATACCATATATGCAAGTTTAAACAGTCAATACCCAAATATGTGGGATCCTATCACGAATCAAGCATTGGAATTAAAAAGTAAGCAGTAACTTTGTCTTATCTCCCTTGAGCACCAGCATTTTCTTTTCTAGAGTTTTTCCGCTCTTTTTACAACAACTAGACCATCTGTCAGATGACGAATAAGTGAACAATGACTCTGAGCCATAATTTGTAATATTTACACTGAATATTTTGGACTCTGTTTTACAACATCACGTGGTGTATTACTCAAATATAGAGCGAAAGCCATTCCACTCCTTATGGCCAACGTAATTTAAGACAGTTTCTTGGTAATTAAGTGGTGCGAAAAAAAAGATTATGCTGTTCTCCTCAAACTTATTGAAAGAACCTGACTTATGACCTAAATGGACTGAGATATTTTGATTTGGTTATTTTTAAGTTTCTAATGACAACAGAAGATCCATAGCATTCAATTCCTCATTCACAAACTACACAGGTCACGATGAGAATTCACTACCATTTCCTTTGGAATTCAAGAATATTCAGATCACAGCATCTGACACTATGAGTGTCAATCAAGAAAAACATTAAAATAGCATGACGATACACATCACTCACTGACATACTTACTTTTCTTTACTTCGGCCATCTCCTACGGGAGGATGAGCCGGCTTCATGAACATCTCGAATCATCGCTGCCCAGGCGCGGCGATCTGATGCAAGGTTTTGCGACACGGTTATCCAATTCTTGTTCCACAGACGGAGTCCGTAGACGGTTTGTAGCCCCAGGCACTCCATATCAGCCTTGACTGTATCAAGCCATGTTTTCAGCTGTCCACCCCTGCGACATCGCCAAGATGGAAATGGTGAGGGATTTAGAACTGATTTGACCAGATTGTCATCTGGTCGGCGCAGAACATGGCCAAACCACCGAAGGCGACGTTGTTGGACCAGTACTGGAGTTTGGTTGATGTTGTAGAGAGTTCATGAAGTTTCATGGGAATTAGGTACGAGTGATGTCCCCAGCATAGCTCGGCCTTTTGTTTGAGTGTGCAGCTCTAGCCTTTACACAACCAAGTGTGACCTCCTACAAGGCAGTAGGAGTGGAGTAGGGAGTCCACTATCCATTGGCAGCCAGCCGGTGACCGGAGTCCGGTTCATATGCCTTTTTGAATTTGGCCAGACATCCAGGGCATCCAAGAAGCCCTTTGTCCACAAGTCTGCCGGTGAGCTTCATACGCCAGTCATTGGAGGTTTGGAATCAGGGTTTAGCCATCTCCCCTAGGCTGTCATCACTGACATGAGTAGCCTCATGACATTCATATGAAAAGGAAATTGTACTGAACTGTCACCTGGAACTGTGTTATTTGCAAATGATCAATGTGATTCTATCAAACCAATTAACTCAAATAGCTAGACACAATTCGGTTGTTTGGGATGAGTCAACGTGGGTACGACGGTAATAAGGTAGGCGCCGAAGGAGTAGAACAAATGAACAGTGTGTAGACAACTTCGATCTCACTAGCAAGCATTTGTGCATTATGCAGGTGGTTTCCAACTATTCACGCTAGTCAGTAGTATGTACCACCAAGCTAAAAACGTCCCTTCTAGTTTTCTTGTTTATGTGAAATTGCTTCAGTAAACACACTTCCCAAAAATACTGAAATAAATAAATAGAAGATAAGGTACAGGACTGATTTTTACCACATAAAAGTACTTATAATAGGTTACTAAGGGGATTTTCCATATGTTTTGATATGCCATGTGCGTTGGTGGCTCAGCAGTAGAATGCTCGCCAACCATGCATGTGGTCCGGGGTTCGATACTCGGCCGGCGCACTCCTTTACCTCTCTAAGCCGGTAATAAGATCGGTAAAGAGTAAAGGTTGGGCATGAGGTTAGCAACGCCACTCCGCAAAAATAAACACCATTGCCACTATAACTTCAAGGCTTGAAGCCCTATGTTCCACTGGGAACGTAAACGAATAAAATAATAAATAAATAAAAAGATTTGATAGATCATGTGCGTTACCAAAACGATCAATTAGAATACTGAGATATCTTTTATTTATGGCTATGTATAATCACACACAATTTTACTGATCTTCACTATTCATATCCTCTGGCGATACACCCAATGCTTCCTCTAGTTCCAATATTGCCTGTTCAATTTCATAATTCTTGCCAACCAAGCTAACCCAAGTCTCTTCTAATTCTTTGAGGTGTTTACCAGCAGCCGTTTGCTCCTGTTTTCGACGCCAATTTATCTCCTGAATTTTTCGCCTTTTTATTAAAAAAGAACATAAAGGACAATATGACTCAGATTAATAAAAGAAAATTAAAGACAAAACCATATTTAGTAGACTTATCACTTGGCAAGTCCTTCACGAACTAATACAAAGACAAACTTTGGTTGAGAGAAACTTTGAAAAGTTACCATTCACTGAAATGTATCCCCTACTGGAAATGCATGCTTTGTATCAACCACCAATTAATTTATGACTGAGAAAGACATTCTACAATAGGTTCATGACTGTAGATTAAAGTATACATAGGTATGTGAAAACATTCTGAAAAAAAAGATGAAATTTCCAGAGGCACAGTAATTCATCTGTTAAGTTTTATAAATTACAACAGCGGTGCAGGCTACAAAGCGATGAGTGAGTAAATATAGCCTTCATAACACGTTCTTAATGCTAAGAAAGGCTGAACACATTTCAGCATTACGTAAATGACTTTTTACATTAGACTACTAATTGCACCAGTATCCAATCAAATGTGTCTGAAATCCTGGATATCCTGATTAAAAAAATACCTAATTAGAACTTCAGAATGGTAAATCAAAGTACTTCGCAAATGAAAACGTAAAACAAATCGGTGAATCGGTGTCTAAATTAATTATATGAAATGTTGTAAAAAGTAGCAGCTATTTGTTGACGTAATCTTGATTCACAAAAGTCTACTACAAAGAGAGAGAAGCTAATCAATCACCAGCAGTAGAATGCTGTCTGGTGAGAGCATGAAAAGAAACATGCAGAAATAGAATATCACATCAAACAAAAATGAATACAAGGAAAAGAACAATTTAGTTTAGACAGGCAACTTTCTTCACTGATTTACCTAATGCGCTAAGAGCAACACGTGTGTTGCTGTGGTTATTTTGCAAACCATATGCAATGCTGTGAAACAAACAGCTATCAGTTATTCTAAGCATTTAGAGATCTGTCTGCTGTACATGTCTTAAAGTCGTATAATAGGACAATAAAACTATGGCACAACTGACTCAATCCCTAGTCAGACAGCATTAGGTAATGATAGGCAAACCAGAATGTAACTGGCCACTCGGTACACATTGTTTGTAAGCTAAACTATGAGTTATAATTTATTTCTGATGGTGGATATAGCTGGATTCAAACTACGGACTTACTGTCTGTTTGTCTGTCTGTCTTCGACATAGAACTTTGCACAAATGTGCGGAAGTTCAAGTCGCCACACTCCGTGTAGCACGCGAAGCAAGAGAAGAAAGTACAAGAAAAGCATAATAGAGACAGTGAGCAGAGGTGTGAGACAAAGGAAGAGTAATAACGAAGAACAAAACAGTTTCATTGGAGATCATAAGTCACAAGGAGTGGATGCATCTGTGCCGGTCATTGAGAACGATTTTGAGCCATGTCACCAATTGTTTCCAACCATAGATTTTTACCGTCCCGAGGACCCCAGCCTGGAAGTCTACACCTTCCTACGTGGCTTAGACCAACTGTTGTGGATTTCATTGACTGGTGCCAAGTTTTTGTTTGACCACCGCTAGCTTTTTTCCAGCCTGACCCTATATCCGCTAACATTGCTCGTCGAGGGAGGCGATGACTTGGCATACGTAACACATGTCCTAACCATCTCAGTCTTTGTAACTTCACGACTTCGTCGATTGATTTCCCCTGTTTATCTAGAACTCAACGCCTAACTTCAATGTTGCTCACCTTATTATGCCACTTTACACGGGAAATAGAGCGCAGGCACCTATGATCAAAGACAGCTAGTCTTTTCATGTCTTCCACGAACTTACTATATTAAAGCCAAATAATGGAGATAACAAGTTACACACATACTTCTTATCGTCTTCAAGAACTTGGAAAGCTACAATAATCATCATCCAATTACCCAAGAACAATATAATGATGCCACATGTCAAGTGATTTACAGCGGAAAACTCAGTAAAGCCTCTGAAGTGAAGGGAGAAGTAAAACAAAGGTGCTTACTATCACCGATGCTATTCTTGTTTGTGATCGACTGGATTATGCTACAGGCTTATGAGAAGTAGTGAGAAGATAGGAATACATTGTGCCGACAAGAAGACCCTAGAAAACCGGAATCTAACGGATGATTTATGTTTAATGCCAAGAAAACTCAAAGAACTACAAGTGAAAATCAACAAATTGGTAGAAGAAGTAGCAAAGACAAAACTTCAACTGAACACAAGGAATGCAGAGGTGACGAAGATAACCAACCAACAACACACACCAATCATTATCAACTGGAGAAATCTAAAGGTCACCTCTTTCACTTAACTAGGCATCACCGTTTCAACTACAGACGGCACAGATGAGGATATAAAAGGTAGGGTCGGAAAAGTAAGATAAACGTTTATTGCTCTAAAGTCAGTGAGGCAGCCTACTGCATTTAGCATAAGGAACAAGGTGGGTATTTTCAACATCACCGTCGTCAGTTCTTCTATATGGTTCAGAAACTTGGTGAGTCACGAGAAACACTTATAAAAAGCTTCAGACTTTCATCAATAGCTGTCTTCATTGATTAGATAGTGAAGACCGTATAGCTCTCTGGAAAGGTGTAGCGACAAGGAACTCTGGAAACGAACCAGCTGAGGACCTATTGCCCAACACATAATCCGAAGAAAACGGAGATATACTGGACACGCTGAGGAGATTATTGAATAGTACTGCGCGCCAGGACCTCGAGTTGAACCCGAATGAGAAACAGAGAATCGGTCGTCCAAGAATGACATGGCAGAGATCATGTGGGAAGATGGGAGCTTAAGGGCAATCGTGGAGTTAGGCAAAAAGGACTGTAAGAAACAGGGTGAAACTGAGACGCACTGTTGAAGCCGGAAGTTACACTCGGAACTTGAGGGAATAATTATAATAAATTTTTTCCGTGACATTCATGGAATGCCATGAAATTTTTAACTGTGAAGTAGATGGCTATATTCGCAATGTGGCTAAAAACTTACGACAGCCAAATGAATTTATCCCGTATTATCACTTTCGTGAGTCCAAACATTTCATTTACCTTTGCCACTTCGTCCATATTTCCTCTATTCATTATTTTATTATCAAACTGCACTTTTTTATGTAGCATTTCAAAGAATGTCATCCTTAGATTTTGTCTTTTTGTATTTACTACAATAGTTTCAATGTTCTCACTGGGAATCTTACAATTAAACTCAAAAGTTCTACAGAAGGGCTAATCTTGATTAGAAGTTATTTTTCGCTTTTATAGTAAATAACATGAAGAGTCAGTAAAAGTTGATGCGACAATTATTTTCACAAACACTTTAGTGATCACGCTTCTTTTCGCTTTTCATCCGTTGCTTAACTCCAGTTGAGGTATCGTACGACAAAATTGTTCTTCTAGAACACATAAGAACCTGTTTGATATCTTCCAACCTTCAACAACAAGTTACTATAAATATCATATGCCTTAGAGAAAATGAATTGATGAGGTTGTGAAGCTGTATTCAGAGAGATGGCTAGGATGCATTCTACGTAAACCAATACACTGCCTTCCTCGCCGACTAATATTATCTAATAAAGGAACGGATTGGAAGTCTTAGAGGTTGAGATTATATAAGCCCATGAAGACTTTGAATATATGACTGAGCCAAGTAGGGTGGCAAAGACCCTTGAAACGTTAAGAACTAATGATTTTAGACTATTGGTAACACGGCTAAAAATCACTTATTATAGTTTCCTCTTATTTTTGTGTCTATCTTACAGTGTGCTTTACGAAATGTGACAAAATAAACTACTGCACTTTTGTACAGAGTCCCACTTTGAAAAAGATCAGCTTTATTTAGTTTCACAAATTTCGGAATATACACATTGGGTCATAGGAGTTATTAAGAAGACAATTGCAGCGAAGAAAATTTTTTTTCGACGAAGTCATCATCTAGGCTGTACATTCGTGTATTTATATCAAATGGATGGGAAAGTTCCAGAATAATTTTAATGTTTATTAATTTAACCCTTAACCGGAAATTATTCTGGAACTTTCCCATCCATTTGATATAAATACACGAATGTACAGCCTAGATGATGACTTCGTCGAAAAGAAAATTTTCTTCGCTGCAATTTTCACAAATTTATCAGTAAAGGCTGGATTTTTTTCACATGTTAAACAGTTTTGGCGAATATGTCACTCATTTTCTCAATTATTTATAAATTAATAATTTCCGTAGAATGTTTAACATCTTTCAGTAAATGCATTACAATACAAAAGCTTAGATTACCACATTCATTTATATGTAAATAATAAGTCACCTTATTTCCAAGAGCTCTTTCTCGTAAATTTGCAGAGAGTTTTCTAAAACATTGTTGTACTGTTTCCAAGCATTGCATCCATATTCGGCCATTAATTCGAGATTTTCAATTCTTGTTGCTTGATGTTCTAACTGTGCCTATTTGAAGAGTCACTTAACAATATAAAATACATTACTTCAGCATTCTCCATTGCGTCTTGCCAAGCTTTCACGTCGGTCATTTTTCCAGCAGGCGGCGGCGGCAACTCGTAACGTTTCATACTTAACATTTCCATTGGTAGACGGTTGGAGAGCCTGTCAAACTCAGCTTTCATCACCTCAGTTTCGAACTTCATTTGAATCGGTCCACATAAAGAGGGAAGATGTTCCAAATAGTTTTTTGTCGGCCTGTATCGTTTCATCTCCTCTTCGACTAGAAGAGCTGCAGCTTCTCTTATTCCAGGATCATCATATCCTTTATCGAAGTATGGAAGCGCGTCAACAACTCCTAAGTGTTCGGACGTCATCTAATGGAAACCTGATAAAGATTTCATGAAACAAAAATGAGTTAATCAATAAGGAATATATTAACCAATATTTTCAATTGAAGATTATGAAATCAAACAAAAACAATTCTTGTGACCATATACGCAAAAGTTTATAAATTTTTTCTGTTTACGTTGAATATTAATCAGATGCCAGGTCTCGAAACCAGTTGGTGAGTGTCGACTCTAAGTAAACTTATTATTCCTTCATCTTTTTTACCCGCTGCTAACAGTTAAATGTGACACGATATCATATTGCTTTGCTATATGCGTATTACGAATGTCAGTACATCAATAGAACAAGTTATAACATTAGCTATTGTACAGATGAAATAAATTATAAGGTAATGCAAAAATATGTATGAATGTGTCAGTAAAACTGACCGGCTATACCGAGTATTCAATCATAAATCTGTCCCCCGTGTCCTAGCCGAAGAAATTAAACTTTGCAGACAAGTACTATTATTTACTGATGTTACTAATTACTGCGAAATCTGGAAGTTTATGTGTCAAGATTCCCTCGCATATGCCAGTTTAATAACTTCTATTAATGTATTACTCCCACAGCATTTAAACACTGGAAATTCCTGGATTTCATTACACAGATACAGAAACTTAAGGTATAATTTGATTTGGCTAAGCAAGACAAGCTTTCATTACTCTTAAGTCTGTGTGGAGGTCAACAGCACTCAGTATAAAAACGAATATAAGATCCGGATTTTCAACTCCAATGTGAAGTCAGTGCTACTCACTATACGGATCAGAGACTTGCACTGCGCCTCATAAAGACCATCTCAAACAAAATTCAGAACTTCATTAACAGTTGTCTTCGCTCAATACTCAAGATCAGATGGCCGGTCAGAAAAGATCAGCAACAGAGATCTCTGGGAGCGAATCAACTCAGCAGGAACCGATTGTGAAACAAATAGGCATAAAGAAATGGAGATGGACTGGCCATAGGCTGAGAAAACCATCAAGTGACATCACTAGACAAGCCATCGCTCGAGTGTAACCCGAAAGGGAAGCGGCGAGTTGGTCGTCAATGCAAGGGTGACTTGGAGGAGGTTATGTGAAGAGGAGATGAGAGCATGTGGGCAGACTTGGAGCGGGGTGAAAAAGTTGGCAGAAAACCGAAGGCAATTGAGATGCGCAGCTGAAGCCCTATGTTCCTCTAAGAATTAAAGGATATAATAATAATAATAAATAATAATACTACCTACAACTCTAAATGGTCGTTGAAGGGCGTAAATAAGACAGAGAGAGAGAGAGAGTATAACCTAACTTTACCCAATGACTAGTTTCATCAGGCTTGCTTAGGAGCTGGAATGAGTTTTTAGTCTAACTAGACTGAATTTGACCTTTATAACGCCTTACTTCAGAGCTTAACTAACATAATCCAAAAACCAGCACAATGTTCCAGAGTGATAATATATTTTGGAGGAGAACGAATACAAAATAAAACCCTAGTGAAAAAATGTGCTTATATGAACAGAAGAATACAGCGACTACTGATGCAGATGAGTGATAACTGAAGCTCTTATAAGTGCTGCTGTTTCATGTGATAACATATTTGCGGATATGGTGTGATGACTATTTTGAGGCCCAAACAACGATAACCCCATTCATTTATAATTAAATCACAAAGAAAAACATTCGAAAAATAGATTTAGGCAGATTTTGATTGGCTAGCTGGCTTCCTATTGGTCTAAAATATAAGTTAAAGCTGCAATCTTTTTATTTTGACTCGGAAATTTACAGTCAGTATAATTTAAGGCTTACCTTACCATTATATAATGGCGTGTTAATTTTTTTGGTGTGAGTGTAGTGTGACAGTCAGACGCTATTTGGATGCATTGGTGGTGTTTAAATTACACTAAGATGTATGAGAATGTCTAGTAAGTGAATATAAATCAACAATAATTTCGATGCATTCACTTTAAGTCCAAAATAGGATGTATGGATTTTTGATTACTAGGCGAATATAATTTAACTACAATTTCTAAAAATTTAATGTGTCCTTAATTAGTACATATAGACAAATGTATGTATTAACTAATCTACTTTTTTAAGTTTTCAATTCAATGACCTGTGGGATTTGTGCATACTAGGTCAGCATAAATCAAATGGCTGAGACCGACAGTTTAAAGCATACTTTGGTTGATTGTTTCGTGATGAGAGAGATTTGGAGTCAGTTATAAATTACACCGATCTGTGTCTTATTCATACGCTTTTCACCTGAGGATTTCCGGTTCATAGCATATCCCGAATAACAATGATTAATACGATTTATCACTTAGACCGCAGCACCACCAAGCTTAAAACAATTCTAAAATTTATTCTAACCTATTCCTCAATAATGCCTTTTTATGGTAACTGAAGATCATATTTACCCACTATGTTCTGAAATGAAACAGGTCGTGCTTAAAAAGACAGTTGCGTGCTGAATCAAAACTTCCCACTCTGTAAGAACGCTAGTCCATGCTGTCAAACAATGGCAAAACAGTAAGGGAGTTTACTGTTACTATTACCACCATAGTATATGTTACTGAATTAGCATAGTATAAGTTGACTAGCTCAATGATTGCAGGTTTACCATAATCCTTGACTACCAACATAATAACTGGGAACTTCATGCTAAAAATAAGCTAGATAGTAGCATCCAGTGACAAAAACTGATCTACACACTGCAAATGACAAAACATCCAGAAAAACTTTTAAAATTCAATGGAAAACGAATTCACGAAAGCATATAACTAGCCGACGCAGGAATTCGTCATGACCTAGAAACTGACTATAGCCTCTCTCCTCTTTCAACCACCGTAGTGTAAACTTTGGAGTCTTGCGCTGCGTTTCAATTTCAATTACTTCCAGCAAAAACCGTTATGGCAAATGATTCTATCATGTATGTTAAGGATTTCAACTTTTTTCCGAAATTCTATCAGAAAAATCTGATTTGGGAATAATTCTTGCATATTTTTGCAGAACCTGGTGTATTATGCTAATGAATGTGAACACGCCAGGCCTGCTGTAGCCACACTGAAACACTGGTTAATACTAATGAAACTGCGGACTGTTACCTTCATAATATCGTTGATAACCTAATATTCCCTCTGGAATGTAACCTACGTCAGTCAATAATTCGATTTTTCTCTGTCAGCCGTATAGTTATCCATGCTCTATGTCGTGATTGGTATTTCTTTTGGTAGGATATGGTGGTTGAAACAATTTGTAGAACTTGTAATACTTGTGGCAATCCGGGTTCTACATCTTATTTTCACGCGCAAAGATCAGGAATTTAGGGATAGTTAACCAAATTATTTGCTAGGTTGTACAAACAATTCAGTAGATTCACAGTTCTGCAAGCAATGTAAGTACTAGGACCTTTAGAAATGAACCACCTGTGCCTGTAAATGCAGCGAAGTTAACAAGTAACCCCAAAATGATTTCGAGAAAGGTGTCGATACTTCCCCAGATGCATCAAATACAAATCGAAGGGATTTCACATTAGCCTATTAAAATTGATGATCCCTACAATATTTCTTAACCCGTGGTTGTGTTTCCGTTAGTGCATTTAAGACATCGCCCAAACTGATGGCAACACCCTGGAAACTGGACGTTACTATATAAGCCAGCTGTTTGAAAACAGTTAGAGCAGTCTGAATTTTAATTGTAGATCTGGAGTATTGTAGCAGACTTCCATGAGCAGTATTGTTCTGATGTTTACAAGTTTCTGGGACTGGTGCGATTTGGAGACATGTGTTACCAAGTGATTATATACCAAATTAACAGCTAAGCTTAGTGCATGCCACAACTAGAAACAACAAGTATGTTTGTTGTGTTCAAGTCTGTCCTAGGCATTATTTATTTGACTGGCTGAGTCCCCAGCCTTTGACACTCTGATCAAGCTCCCTCTCAACCACCACAAATAGTAGGAGAAGAATACAATACTAATGTATGTTTTGTATTGGATTATTATGAAGGAACAAACTGAGATTATAAGAATGTTAAGTTCAGTACAGCGCAACAACCAAACTCTGGGTCCTTGAAGACACCTTTTAAGTTAAGGGATCTGTCAATGGAGTTGAAGATTGAACGATCAATTCTTGGTTATTTGCTCAAAATCAACTTCCCGATTTTCGCGGAGGCATCAATACGACAGTCATCGTCTCATCGGTCGCTGTTCAGAAAGAAGAGTAAAATATCATCAGAAACCTTAGTTTGCTTAGTTCGTTTATTCCTTTTATATGTTGGTGTAACAATAAAGAAATAACAAGCAGCAGATCGGTGTTTTGGTTTTTGCGTCCGTTATTACTAAGCGTTTCTGAAACTCAAAGGAACAGCGTGGGCCCGAGCGTAGCGAGAGCTGGGCATTAACGGTTTATGAGACTTTGCTGACAGTTTCTGACGATAGAAACAGATCTGGCGGATTGAAACAGTTGGTGAAAGTTTGGATAGTCGCCGTTCATTTTTCCTGGTGCCGGTCAAGTCCTCTTTGAACAAGCAATATCTGGAACTATTTTGGAATTGGTTCAAGTTCAACAATGCCTGGGTCAAAGAAGGGACAGAGTGTCTTGGATGCAAACAGGAGAGTAAGTCATGGTGACTTGTCTGTTAATTGTAACGATGTGTCTGATGTTAAGTATGACATGGTTGATGTTACTGTTTCGCCGTTCACGGATAATAGGAACATCAAACTCCCTAAATTTGAACCACGATGTTTTGATGGAAACCCGGCTGATTATTTACAATTTGTAAAGGAGTTTGAGATCATGTTGAGTGGTTTTTTATTAAATGATGAAATGAAGTTAATGTATTTGATGAGATATTGCACTGGAGATGCTTCAAGAGCTATACAGTGTTGTAAGTTTATGAAGCCAAAGGAGGGCTACGATGAGGCTATGAGCATATTACGTCAAAGGTTTGGAAGACCTTCGATGATTGCAGGGAAATTATTCGAGGCTGTTAAGGGTAATGGTGGTCAA